GCGGCCTCGACGCCATCGTCATCTCGCACCCGCACTACTTCTCGACCGCGCTGCACTGGGCCGAGGCCTTCGGGTGCAAGGTGTACGTGTCGGCCGAGGACGGCGAGTGGCTGACGCGCCGCGGCAAGGCGCACGAGCTGTGGGAGGCGAAGACGATGGAGTTCGTCGGCGGTGAGTTCCTGGTCGTCAAAGTGGGCGGGCATTTCCCCGGCAGCTCGGTGTTGTTGTGGAAGAGCGAGAAGAAGCTGTTTGTGGCGGACTCGGTGATGGTGGTGCCCAGTGGGGTGTATCATGTTGATCGGCCGAAGGGGACGGCGAGCTTTGCGTTTATGTGGTCGTATCCGAACATGGTGAGTGAAATTAGTGGGAGACGATTTGAAGATGAGTAACTGATGGGGAATTTGTGCAGATTCCGCTCTCACCTGATGATGTGCATGGAATCTGGAAGGCGATCTCTGCGCTGGATTTCGAGGATGCTCACAGTGCGTTTCCCGGCCGCGATGCAAGGGGTGGCGCGAAGAAGCGACTGCTTGAGAGCGCGCAGCTGTGCGTGAAGTTCATGGGATACGCAAACCACGCCATCCACTCCGAGAAAATTTGAGAAAGACGGTAGTAGAACTGCTGTCGTGTTGACAAGTCCAGATTTCATTGCCATCTGGCAAACTTGTTCAGCAAGACAGACCTATTCAGTTGTTGGTACAGGAGGAGTAGTCCATGATCTATAATGACACAAGAGAAAACATGAACCTGCAAAGTTATATTCAATTTCATTACTGGGGTATTCCTCGGATATCTTGACCTCATTATTTCACCATCCAGCAGCGCCTCTAAAATCCACCGGTACCTTCCAATCTCTTGATCGCCCCAACCAAGCCCTTTGCCCAGCTGAACCGCCCTGGATCAACTCCTGTCGCGCCATCCGCCTCTTTCCCGTTCTCATCTCTCCAAACGCCATCTTCCCTATTCAGTGCTCCATACCGATGCGTATTTTGGTTCCGCCTCAGACCGTCCATCCAGACCTTGCACACGTCGCGGCTCTCCAGCATGATGTTAACCTCTTGGCTGTGGAACCAACTTTGCGTATCCTGGTTGCCGGACCCGACAATGGCGATCGACTCGTCCACGATCATGAGTTTTACGTGGCATGAACGCTTCTTCTTCTCTGCGATGATGGGTTGCGTCTGGTCTTTGCCGATGTACCAGAAGTAGTGGAGATGTTGTCGCCCTTGAGGTGAGAGCTTCTCGTACATGTGGGCGGCAACCATCTCGTTGTGACCTCCTTGCATCGGCAACAGCTCGCCCTGAGTTGTATTAGCAATCATCATCGAGTCTAGCATCCGTCTTCAAAACTTACAGCATCATTGTACCCAAGACAGACATACGCAAACACATCAACCCCCCGCTCGCACGCCTCAATCATAGCCGGCACCAGCGGCTCCGCATTCAATGTCGGCGTCTGGATAAACACATTCTTCTCCGCATTGCGCAGCGCCGACAGCCACGCCGCGTTCTGCGGGTTGCCCACCGACTTGTGGTTCGGCGGCCCGTACGGCGGCCTGTTGACGAGCGCGATCGGGAACGGCTCGTGGGTAGGGTGCGGGATGTACGGCGTCATCTCGTCGGCGGGGTCGCACTCGGGGGCGGTGCCTTTGAAGTCCTTGTTGATGGTGTGGTTGAGATGGCGGCTGATGGCCTGCATTTGCGACTCGTCGGGCTTCGCGGAGACGGCGGCTTGTACGCGGGCAATCTCGCCGGCGATGTCGGTGTCATAGTGCGGGTCTTCATGGGTGTGTTCGGGTAGGGAACCGTTGGCTACAACTTCTGAAGCTGGGGCAGTTTGGGAGACCGAGTGCCCGTTTTGGGGACCTTGGGTCGGGGGGATCGTGGTGGTCGTTCCGTTGGAACCGTTGGCCTCGGTAGGTGTGAGGATCTGGTCGGCGCCGGGGCCGTATGCAGCAGCACGCTGGGGTATCCGGGCCGGGTCAAGCACAACTCTGTGCCCCTTCAACGTTCCTTCGGGGGTGAAGATGGAGTCATGACTAAGTCCAAAGCTACCCAGCTCACCGAGCGCAGCTGGTGTATCTCTAGTCGGCAGAGGCGGATCAAGCTTCTTATGCCAAGTAAGCAGCGCCATATCATACAAACTATCAACAATCGGCCCCTCCACATGGACCATCATCTCCAGGTTATCGTTATCCTGAATATTATTGCTCTGCACCACGCCAATCTTGCGGTCCACGACCATGAACTTGGAGTGGAACGTGCCGAGCATGGGGTCGTGGTAGTTCATCACCTCCAAGTCGATGTTGGGAATCTCCGCCTTCGACGGCAGCCCGACGGCCTTGCCCGTGTACTCCTTCTCGGGGACGATGTAGTGCGGCTCGAACAGCTGCTTCGGGCTGCCGCGGTCGTAGAGCACCTTCATCGTGAGCCGGGTTCCGCGCTCGCCGGCGCGGCGGGAGGCTTCCTTCATGGCGTTGGTGATGTACTTTGACGCGGCGCCGTTTTGCCAGAAATTCGTCGCGAGGATGACTTCTTTCTCTGCTCGCACGATGAGATTGGACATGTGTCTTACGATGTCGGGGATGCTGGTGGTGGGTGAGCTCATGGTTGGAGTCAATTGAGTCAGGGGGGACTTACACTGAGAGGATGGTGAGCGGGGCGACGCCGCTGCTGCCAAGTAAGGGTGGACTCGCCACCCCGTGAGCGGGATTGTCGTTGAGTGTGCAGAGAGCATCGTGGTACAACTTTTCATGGTTAGCGACGCAGAATTTGAGATGATGATTGTTATTGTTACTTACCCTCAAAAATAGCCTGCTTGGCCTTGTCGTCCCCCATTTCCCACACTTGAACGCGACTTCCAGCTCATCGTCGCTCACCTCTCCTTGCCCAATATCTCTAATATCCTTTGGCTCATGTGAATTGCTCTTGTAATGGGTGGCCAGCTTCTTCCACGCATGGCCAGGCTGCAGCGTGGGATCCTCAGCTAGAAATCCGGAGACGGTGTTGCTCGACGCGCAGAAGCTGGCGAGCGGCTCGCTCAGCGTGTGCGCATTCTGATACTCCGACTTCGTCCGTGCGTGAGGCATCGTCGATGGATCAGAAGAAGAAGAAGAAGAAGAAGTTGTCTTTTGGTCAGGGACTCTGGGGACTGAATAGGCACTGTAGGGGAATTGAAACACGGTCTGGTAAAGGACGTTGCCAAGCTTTGGCAGGCCGGTCTGGCCCGGGGAAGACATGTTTGCAGTTATACCTCAAAAGAACAGCAGCTCTCAGTATTTCACCATCAGACGCCAGCAAGAGCAAGTTGAATGGGTGTGGAGAAGGATAGCTTCGCCCAGAGCTGCGTCGTCGTCAGTGAGGGCGAAAACTGGCCGTTCTAGGCGTTATGTAGGTGCCGTGCCAGCCGTGCGGCCCACGGGTGATGATGTAAGACAAGTAAGGTTTGACCAGACCACTGCCAACTAAAAATGTGGCCATCTGCGTCACTTCCCCTCCAACTACCAACTTGCCCCAAGACCGAGCTCAAGCAGACGTGCCGCGCATCCGATACACTAGCTGGCGAGGCCGTGCCGGCAGCCCGTGGCAAGGCGTGTTCCGAAGGAGGCTTGTAGGCATCGCTGCAGCCACAGTTGCAGAAGCGAGGAACGTGATTGTTTCTTGGGGGCTGGTGGTGATTGACGGCGCACGGCACTCGGCCCATGGAATGCGCACTTCACCAGCCCATGTTGCTGTGGTGGCATTCTTTGGTCGCAGCCGAAACCAGGACATGATCCCTGCGAGGGAGAATCCGTCCCGGCTGTCGCTGCCGGTCTTGCTCGTGGGAATGACGCACGACAACTCTAAAACCGAGACAAAGATGTAGGCCCGGCGTGGAGTTTAAATTAGCTAAACGCTTGCCCGAATTGATTTGCCGCGCAGTGCACTGTCGTCGGCCCGGTGCATTGACCTGTAGCCCCGTTTTCCAGCGCATTTCCGTCTTCGGCGTCTCCGAGTGCTGCTCGCCCGTCAGAAGCCGCCAAGGCTCCACATCTCCGGCGCCGGCCAGTGCAGGCTCGGACGGGGCAGAAGCTCGGGGCAGAAGCCGGTCGCCGATGGGTTTGCTCCGGGGATGCGGCGGGAGATTCGGACAAATTGCCTGTAGTCGTAGCCCTAGGCCTAATCATGGTCTCATGCAAGAGTCGTCTATTGCGAGCAAACTACGTTCTTTTTCATCAGGCTTTACGACAACCGTGACTGGACACATGACTACGAACACTTTCAATTGAACGACAGCTTATTAGACCAGTCTACATACTGTCTTCGGTGAGGACAGATATGTGGCTGTTTCTCTCGAGCCTACCCAGATACTCCTTTCTTCATCGTTTGTGCCACGATACCCAGGCCGACGCACAACTCTTCACATCAACAAAGAGCAATTCGGCGCATTCCTCGCGAAAATTCATAGGTAGACTTTCAGATATCGACGATTTTAACGCACGTGTTCCAGCAAAAATGATCGTGTAATTTTCCAATAGTGGAAGTCCTCGGAAAATTTACCGGATCTGGCAGCTCGGCACCATTGCCCCCATCTGTCAAAATCATGGGTACCATGATAATGGATCTATCCGTTTGTGTTCCCGAAACTCAAATTGAGCCCTATGAGACCATCTATCAGACGTCTGTATAATACGCGCGACAGGCAAGATATCCGCCGGCATGGAATCCACCGGAGTGCTCCGCTAACCCAACTCTTGATTCTCGCGTAGACTTCCGCCGGAAAGCTTACCTTTGGATCGCATGTTGGGTTACTAAGCGTGTAAGTATCGTGACACGGCTGTATCACAGCTTCATATGCTCTATGAAAGACACACTCGGCATTTTTATTTTATATCCCGGAGCTCATTGACTTGAGAACTAAAGTCTGCCTTCAGCAACTACATCTGCCAGGCCTAATCACACCAGTCCAATTTCTAAACTCAATAACCACAGCATCTTACACCATCACCAACAACCCAGACATGGCCCGCCTCGCCTCAAAAGTCTGCATAATAACAGGCTCCTCGTCCGGCCTCGGCCGCGCCATAGCTCTAACCTACGCCGCCGAGGGCGCTCACATCGTCTGCGCAGACCTGCAGCCCGCCGCCCGCGCCGAGGTCGAATCCGAAGGCCTCGCCAACACGGACGACCTCATCCGCCAAAATGACGGCAGGGCCATCTTCATCAAGACAGACATGACGAAACCGGAGCAAGTCGAGAACCTAGTCTCAAAATGTGTCTCGGAGTTTGGCAGACTCGACGTGTAAGTCCAACCCCTCCCACCATCCCCAAACCACAGCCACCTCACCAACACCAAAAAAAGCCTCGTCAACAACGCCGGCATCTCCCTCGAAGCAGGCCGCCCGCCCCTCGGCATCCACGAAACCCCCCTCGAGACCTGGGACCTCACAATGTCCGTCAACGCCACCTCCGTCTTCCTCGGCTGCAAATACGCCATCGCGCAGATGCTCACCCAGCCGCTCCTCCCCTCCGGCGACCGCGGCTGGATCGTCAACGTCTCGTCCATCTTCGGCCTCGTCGGCGGGCGGCACAATATTTCGTACGCGGCGTCCAAGGGCGCCGTGTCGAATCTGACGAGGCAGGTTGCGATGGACTATGCGGAGGCGAGGATCCATTGTAATGCGATTTGTCCGGGGTGTAAGTGCTTTCTGTCTCGTGTGGGCTGGGTGAGGTAACTGACGAGGAGTAGATGTCAAGACTGCGATTTTCGTGAATACAGTCAAGACGCTTCATAGTCCGGAGGCGATCGCCAAGCAGCACCCTTTCCGTGGCGTGGGTACGCCGGAAGATATTGTTGGCGCGGCTGTGTTTCTGGCGAGTGATGATGCGAGATGGATTACGGGGATTTGCATGCCTGTGGACGGAGGCTACACTGCGCAGTAGACGATGATTTGCGGACACGGCTCACGGAATGACGAGAACGATAAAGCAGATAAATGAAAACTTTTGGCATTCGCCGTCTAAAAATATCGCACTCTACACGTCTATTCCACCCGTGAACGTCCCTGATTCTCAATCGCCCACAGCTCGCCAAACCGGCTCCCCTCCGTCTCGACAAGCTTCCTCGGGCTGCCCGTCTCCACAACCCGACCCTTATCCATCACAATAACCGCATCGAAAAAGTCCATCACCATATCCAGCCGATGCGAGACCATGACGATCGTGTACCTTCCAAACTCCTCCTTGATAATCTCCTGCATCAGCCGGTCCGTCGCGTGGTCGACGCTCGAACTGACCTCGTCCAGCAACAGAATACCCCCGCTGCGCCGCTTGGAGCGCGCATCCTTGACGCGGCGGCGGAGTATCGCGCGACCGAGGCTGAAGAGCTGCTTCTGCCCCGCCGAGAGGCTGTCGGCGGTCATGCCCTCGTGCAGGCCGCCGCGCTCCTCGACGAAGGTGGAGAGTTGGACGGTGCGCAGGACAGAGAGGCATTCTGCGTCCGTGGAGGCGTCGAAGGGGTCGAGGTTGGATTTTATGGTTGTGCCGTCGGGGAGGAAGACGGCGTCTTGGGGCACGGCGATGATGCGCCGGCGGAGGGTGGCGCGGTCGATGCGGTGGAAGGGGGTGTTGTCCATTTCAATGTTTTGGGAGCAGCTTGGGAGGGGGTCGAGGAGGCGGAGAAGCAGGAGAATAAGGGATGATTTGCCGCTGAGGTGTGTTAGTGGGTGAGAAATGTGAGGGAAATTAGTTGACTTGCCTTCCAGTGCGGCCACAGAGGGCGATCTTTTGACCAGGTTGGATGGAGAAGGTGAGGTCTTTGAGGGCTAGGCTTGGTTGGGTGCTGTTACCATTGAGAGTCTCCTCTTGCTCATTGCTATGATTTCACGTCAGCTTGGTTCGATAGAAAGGTGTGATTAGCTTACCTGTATGACGCCGAGACACCCTTGAGCTCGATGCTGCCATTCTCTGGCCACTCCTCAGGGGGCTCAATGTCCTCACCCTCAAGACTCTCAGGCTTAACCTTCTCAGAAAATGTCTTGATACGAGCGACGGCGCCAATGGAGGTTTCAAGCTGAGTGTAGAATCGAATGAGGTAGGCAATGGTCTCGCCCCACGACATGAGCGTGACCAGGGAAGCACCAGTGAAACCAGAATTGGCCCTCAGTTGAGTAGCCAGAGCGACGAGAACGACGGCAATGCACGCAACCATGAGATGCATCGCCACGACAAGCCACTGCTGAATCATCGCAAGGAGGTAAGCCGGACGTTGGGAGGTGTCGAGGAGGTACTGGTTGTGTGCAATATCCCTACCTGTCCAACCGAAGGCGCGGATTGTGGCAACTCCCTTGATGGTGTCGAGGAAGTGGGTGCTAGGCTTTGTCAGCATATGCGATAGTTAAAGGTGAGGCTTTTACTGACTACAGTGGACTCTTGGACTCTAGATCCAGTAGACGAAGCTGCCGCGAGGTCCTCAGGTAAAACTTTTGGATGATCCAGCAAAGCCCGATGACGAATGGGTAGCTGATAGACATGTACGGCGACGCGACCGCAATAACTGCTCCCATCGCCACTGCATCAAAGCCGGAGATAACCGCATTAAGGAGGGCGTTGGGCAGCTCGTTGTCAATGAGGGTCATATCCTGCGAGAAGAGGTTGGTGACGACGCCAGAGTCCGTGTTGGTAAAGAAGCTAAGGGGAGCGTGGATGACGGTATGCAGAGCCTGCTGATGGAGGATAGTGCCTGAGGAGGAGGTCATCCAGATGATTTGGGCAACACCGGCGACCAAGAGCGAAAGAAGCTGCAAGACCTTGAAGAAACCGAACAAGCCAGCGTAGTAAGCGCTGCTCTTGTGGAGAGTGTCTTCCGTCCAAAACTTCATCCAGATCGTGGGGAATGTGTTCCAGAGGGAGTAAAAAGCGCAGCCTACGACAAAGATGGTGACAGCATAAAGATTGAGACTCCTGAAGTAGTGGACATAGACCTTGAAGTCTCCGGTCTGTCTCGACTTCTCCATCAACTCTGCAGCGACAGCAAGCGGACGCTTGGGTTTCGAGGACGACGCTGCTTTTTCTTGATCGGCCGGGATGTCGCTGGAGACGGACTCCGTGTCCGAGTCCGTGCCGGTGACACCGAGGCTAGCGACGTACTTCTTGTCCTTCATCAGATCAGAGAATGTGCCCTCTTCGACCATCGTGCCATCTGCGCCGAGAGCAATGATGTGGTCGGCCAGGGGAAGGTACTTGATAGCATGCGTGCACAGAACGACCGTGGCTCGGCGGCGGCGAATGATGCCGTCCAGTCCGAAAACGCGGCGGAAGACTTCGCCGGCGGTATCATTGTCGAGGCCACTGAGGATGTCGTCGAAGATCATGAGATCGCAGTTGAGGTAAAGAGCGCGAGCAAGAGAGACGCGCTGCTTTTGCCCGCCACTGAGCATGATGCCATTGCTTCCAATCTTCGTGTCATCACCATAAGGAAGAAGCAAGAGATCAGTCTGTAGCATACACGCTTCAATGATCTCGTCGTATTTGGCTTGGTTGAATGTAGAATAGCCGACGATATTGTCCTTGACGGATCCGTTGGATAGGAATGGAGTTTGCTCGCAGTATCCGATAGCTGCGTTTCGTGAGGGCACCGAGACGAGACCACTGCTGTGCGGCACCTCTCCGAGGAGAACTTTGCAGAGGGTAGACTTGCCAGATGCCACGGGGCCGACGACAATGGTAAGCTGAGATGAAGGAATCGTGGCTGTGATGTCGCGGAGTACCATCTTGTCCGAAGTCCATCCAAAACTGCCGTCAACGATGTAGATGGATGGAGTCGAACTCTTGCTCTCGGAGCTCTGTCGTCTGTCCTTGGCAATGGGGCTCAAAGGGATGCCCTCCGTACTGTCTCCAAACGTGGTGTCCCCGGATGATCGATCTATCGACGGGCGAGAAGACTGGCGGTAGTCAACACGAGAGTCCGCCTCGAGGAATTTCTGGATGCGGTCGAGACAGGTGAAGCCGGCAACAACGGCAGGAACCATCTGGAATAACTGGCCTAGCGGTGCATTGAGAAGCACCAAGAACGAGAATGATGTGAAGATTGTGGTCGTATCGAGGCGAGAGGCGGCGAAGGCAAAGGTGATTGCCGGGGAAATCATATTCGGTGCGAGCGCCGCGAGAGCAGTGATGATGAGCATCCATCGGAACTGGGTACCGTAGTGGATCTCTTCGACACGCATCTTCTGGACGAATTCGGCGACAGGCGATGTGATGCCCGAGATTCGCAAGTACTTCATGTTGGAAATGACGTTGGCGGTGAGACCAACGCGTTTCTGAATCTGTGCCATCCATCGAGCCTGGCGCTCACCGGTCACTTGGGCGACCAGGACCGTCACACCCGTGCAGACCAGAATGACGACAATAGGCGCGAGGAACGAGATACCCAGCTGGCGCTCCAACAGCCAGCAGCCGAGGGCGACTTCAATAAGATTGGCCCAAAATTCATGGAGCCCGTAGAAGCCGCGGATGATGCGCTCGGTGTCGGTGCTCATCAGCGTCACGGCGGCAGCATCGCCGGCAGCGGTGATGTCGGCCTCGGTCGTCTTCTTGTAGATGACCGCTGACAAGCAGCCGCGCGACATATAGAGGGACCGCTGTGAGAAGTAGTTGTACAACGCAGTAGACACGGCAATGCCGGTGTAGATCATGACAGCAGCACCGATGAGGCCATATCCAGTGCTCTTCGGCGCCTCGGGGTCCTGCAGGTACTCGAGCAGGGTCTGGATGAAGAAGGGCTGGCTAAAGTTGAATCCAATCAACGCGATTCTCGGGGCGACTGGGAGCAGCAGCGGAACTGCGAGAGCCTTTCCGAGAGCACGCGCAAGGCCATACTTCTTGCCGCGATAGGTGCCTTTCTCAAGCTCCTGGTCCAAGGTGATTTGCATCGTCTCGGCGATCATGCCTTGATCGAGGGAATACAAGTCGCGGACCGAGAGGACGTTGCGGTATCCGTGAAGGAAAAGGCGGTTTAGCCACCAGTAGACTCCAAGACTGAAAAGGCCGCTCGTTTCCTCAGGGCTGTGCTCACTCGCCGTCCACCGGATCCATCGCGTCTTTCTCTGTGCCTCGATGAGGAGGATCACAATCTTCACAGCCAGCGACGCGGTGAAGAGCCTGGCGAAGAGTTGGGTAGAGAACGTTCTGGCCATCAACCATGAAGTTCGAGTTTGAGCGATATCGAACAGGATCTGGAGGAACACGTAGGCTGTCAACAAGATCGACGGCCTCGGGGCTCTGGAGTGCTCGGCGTAAGAAAGTCCCAGCATGAATAAGGCTGCGACGAAAGCGAGAGCTGACGCTGACACGGCGAAGCCGTCAACGCGCGAGCCATTGTTTGTTGTCTGGAGAATGAGAAGCACAAACTGGAGCGTCGCAAACACTGTGATCGTTGCCTATCTATCGCATTAGATTCTTACATGAAGTGCATTGTTCATTAGGTCGTTTATCACGTACCAGTTTAATCGCCTGAATGCTTTTGGCGCCCACGATCCGCGGTTTCCTAGCCAGGTACGCGATGCGGGGTAATGACAGGGCAGCAAAGACGGCTGCAGGAATGATGGCTAGAAATATCCTCTCAAATCGGAGTGTAAAGTCGAAGTTGCCTCGACATCCTTGGACGCCGGGCCCGAGGGAGTCGTCGTTGAGACACCTCGAGCTCATGGTGGGGTGTGCCTTGGCGCAACGGCCGCTAATGTAACTCTACCACGACCGTACCGGGCTTGTGGGATTCAGGGTTCAAGTCTGATTTGGACTCGCCTCTATGAAGAAGGGCGAGGTGACTTGAAGGGTTAAGAGGTAGATGATAGTTTGACTCGGACCAAAGGAATGGAGTCAGCCACGGAGGGTGCTTGTCAAATAAGCTTAACATAGATACCGGCGGTGATGATCCGGAGGAT